CTGAATAGACCTTTTTAAAAGTATTATGGGTAATTGATCAATTATAGACATGACAAAAGTAAATAAACAATAATAGACAAAAGTCATACATGCATTTATGGCATAAATTTATCTACATGTTCTGGTAGAAATGTTAAAATAGTTAAAACAGTTGGGAGAAATCACTATTTATATATTAAGAACATCAGTTGTTCGACCTGCTAGTCAAATGCGTTTTGATAAAATATACTTTTTCACTCATTTGGTCTTTTGGAAAATGTTGTTTGAGCTGTATTTAGACCCCTCTTCCAAGAAATTTGTTTTGCATGCACACATATAAAAATTGCAGTTTTTATCCAACGCAATCATAGGTTTGAACGTTGTTTTTAATTTAGACTTGTATATACATGTATATATATATATATCCTGCATCAAAGAATTAAATTTGACTGGCCTTATTAAACTATTTTTGAAGTTTTCCATTAATAATACTCATACATTAATGCTGCAATAAATATAATAGTGTTTAACTTTAATGGAGACCTATTTTTCATGCAGACAATGTTAAAAGGTAGGTTCAATGCATGTACATGTAAACAGTATATTGTATTTAGAAGGTGATTATGTTGTGAATTATTTCCATTTAATATGTGTGTTTTGTTGTCTAATTGATGTTATTTTACACATGCTATTCATGAAAGAATGTTTTGAATCTTAAATATGATCTTTTTATCTTTACTTGACTAAATATATAAGTTATTAATCTAATTGCACAAACGCAATTGTACAGGCAAACGAAACCAAATTGAAATAAATACATTGGTATTACCATTTATATCTAGTAATTTTTCCAGTATAAAAGATTAACTTCTGATAACTTTTTTTTGTATTTGAGTTATTTTATTTTGATACCAGATTTTATAAAGAATTAACTCTTTGGCTCACTTTAGACAATGGCCAATATCAACTTATGCTATTACTTGCATTTGTGTCCATCTTCTGTCATTCTTAAGATTTTCATAATATGATTCTTATTGAGAAAGATTGAACAGAATGAAACCAAACTTGGCAGAGATGTACAAGATACTTTCAAACTCATGTTTCTTGGTGTTGATTCTTTAACAAACATTTGAAATTCAATGTGGCAACAGAGAGAGATAACAGCTACATTGAAACCTGAGGATAAGTGGATATCTAATTTGTGTTATCAACTACTCCTTCAGTTGTTCTCCCAGATCCCTGAATCTTCACAGAAAGATAATATACATGTTGAAGTTGTACACCTACTTTTATGGAATTGCTTGAGGATTTTTTTCCACTTTTCCAGACTACTGAACTAATTCAATTAAATTCAAAAAATAAATCCAAATATGGAAACTATATTTAATTTTATCCCAAATCATTTTGAACTCATAGAAAGCTTGCAAAGCTGTTGAATTTGTGCACCTTCCTTTATGGAGTCCCCCCCCATTTTCCAATTTTATATTTTCAAATGTATGTTCAGTGTAGACTTATATCCTCTGTTTAAGAAACATTCTATGCAACCCTGTAGTTGAGTCTTAGATAGGTTTTTCTTTAAGAAAGGATGCAGTGAAATGAAAATATATCTTGCAGAAATTTTCTTTATAAGTAATTAAGCAGGTGTTGTAACTTTGGTCCTGATGAAAAGTCTAATAGGTATAACTTTAAGGTGCCAAAAAGGGACTTTTCAATGATCTTCTTCTCAAGAACTACTGAAATTAAAACCAAATTTACCAGGCACCTTTTTGGCACCTTTGAAGATTTGATTTGATTTTTGATTTTTGGTGTTTAAACGCCACTTTTAAGCACCGCTTTTGGGCTATTTCGTGGCGGCCAGTTTTTATTGGTGGAGGAAGCTGGAGCGCCCGGAGAAAACCACCGACCTTCGATAGGAAAACTGATAATCCTAGTCAATAAAGATTGGAGTCGAGTGCACCCGCACGAGCGGGGTTCGAACTCACAACCTCAGTGTTGACTGGCTAGTGATTACAGTAGTAACTACTTAGACCACTCGGCCACCGAGGCCCCGCACCTTTGAAGAGGCCCCATCACAAGTTGGTTGACCATTATGGAATATTGGTCTCTCAGATGACCACAAATATGTTCCAATTGTCTTTTCGGTGTCTTTTGTTTTTATACGCCCGTGCACGGTATTATGGTATACCGTTGACCGTCTGTCCGTCGTCAACATGTCGGACATTAACTCAAAAACACTTTAAATAATATGCAAGAAACTTTGGTGAATTGTTTATATCTATTGACCTGAGCACCCTTCCGTTTTTTTAAATTTCGGATTTACCGTTTCCGAGTTTTGGTGTTTTATTCATTTAAAAAAGGGGGATTTTCCAGTTTGTGGACAATAACTCAAAAACAATTTCACCAATTTGCAAGAAACTTTGGTGAATTGTTTATTTCTATTGACATGAGCTCCCTTTTGATTTTTTAAAATTTAAACTATACATTTCCTTTTTATGGGGTTTTATTCATTACAAAAAGGGGGATTTTCCAGTTTTCGGACAATAACTCAAAAATGCTTTCAGCATTTTTTATGAAACTTTAGTAAATTGTTTATATCTATTGTTGTAAGCTCCCTTTTGATTTTTATAAATTTAAGATTTTACTTTTCCGAGTTATAAGATTTTATTCATAAAAAAAAGGTTGATTTTTAAGTTTTTGGACAATATCCTTAAAGTGCTTAGAGCAGTTTTCATTAAACTTTGATGACTGATTTATATCTATTAAGATAACCTCCCTTTAGTTTTTTATTAATTTCTGATATAACATTGAGAAGTTATTGTTTGTTTATAGTCTGACAACAGATTTACTTAGTATTGCACAACAGCACAGTGTATTGCATAACAGCAAGAAATCTTTAATTGAATATAAATTCAATTCATATAACCAATTTCAAGTTCTTTGACTACATTTATTCAGAAACCTATAATATGTCAAATATTTAATTACAATCCAAATTCAGACCTGTATCAAGCTTGAATATTGTGTCCATTTTTGCCCCAACTGTTCAGGGTTGGACCTCTGCGGGCGTATCCAGCTGCGCTCAGCGATGCAGTTTATTTGCCATGGTATTGTCAGTTAGTTTTTCGACTTGTGAGTTTGAATATCCCTTTGGTATCTTTCGCCTCTCTTTTACGAGATATATTTCTCTGCAGATCCTAACACATTATGGTGTTACTTTGATGTTGATTGGAAATTTAAATTAGCTGCCATTAGCAACTTGGGTCAACGTTCACATTGAAACCCTATATGGGTAATTATATTGTGCCTTTCTTTTCAATAACAGATGAATTAGTGCGATGAAAACGATCCATTCAGATATATACTTCCTTGAAATATATACCTAGTTCAAATATATACTTTAGAAGGTACTTGTACTTGTCAAGTATTGTTTCTTTTTACTTCATGAAAAGTCTTAAATGGGGTTCATTGGTTACATTACATTGGATGATTTTTTTTCAAAAAAAGTCTTTATAATGATTGATGAGGGGGGATGTCTTGCACTGAATGTGAAACTGCTTTTTTAAACAGATCTACATTGTATCTTGTTTTTTTTTCAAATTGTAATTATATTTATGATATTTTGAATGTGAGGCTAACTCTGCATGAAGGATAATGTATTTGCTATTTTAAGAAAAAGAACCATGTTTCTAATCAATTCATTTGTTGCTATATAATTTAGCTTTGCCTTAATCTGAAGATAGCATGATTTTTGTGCTTTGATCAACAATAAATTCATATCATGTGACATAGACATCTGTCAAAGAACCTGAACTGACTCCCTTTGCAGTTCATGAGATTCTGTTTTATGTCATGTATGTTGATGTTTTAAATCTGAGAATTTACTGAACAACTATATACATGTACTTCATTTATATAAAGATAAGGATTTGTGGTTGAATCTCCAATGAGACAACGATCCACCAGAAAAAAAAGGATAAAGGATCTAAACAATAACATGAGCCCTGTACAGCCTTCAACAGTGAGTAGAACACATACCACATATAGAAATATAGAAAAGATCCTGGAATGTCTAATTGTGAAACAATTTAAAAAAGAAAACCAAAGGCTTAAAACAACAAATAAAATGCAAACAGGCAGACAGCAACCACTGAATTACAGGATTATGATTTGGGGCAGGCACATGATTAAGAATGTTGCAGGTTTAAACAGGTTTGTGAGCATTCTATTAACCCTTCCCCAACATAGGACAGTGGTGAACCAGCACATCTAAGAACAAACTATAAAAATCAGACTTGACTCATCAGAATGGTACTATTTAGCAAAAACCTTAACAAAAAGACTAGGAACTGATCTAAAAAGGCTATTTAGGACTTATTTTTGTTTACTTTCTTTGTTAATCCTGATACATTTGTACATGTATTAAAGTTTTTGTTTTTGAAACTTGAATATCTTCATGCAATCTAAAACGGATAACTTCAAATTCTGTATTTCTTTAATTAGTCTGGATAACTTAAATCCTATTTATCATGTTTATTCTGTACTTAAATCTTAGTTCACCCAGAATTTAAAGTGTTTGAAATATAAACATCTGCATCAAATCTGAATGGAGTTATATGAAACCAGGACGGATAACTAAACTAGACTTAAATTCTTAGTACTTAATATTGGTTGATGCTGATCCACAATCATTGAGTTCTGCATCTTTTAATTTTGAACTTAGATAGGACCTTTTTTGAAAAAGGATAAAGCTTTCTTAAAAAAAGTTTGGAAAAAACTTCTTTTTTATATTAATACTCATATATATAATATTATTCCATAGGTAAGGGTATATGTTAAAGTTAAGATGAATATTCATGAGCAGGTGAAATACAAATAAATGTATATTTTATATAAGTCACAGCACTAAGTGTTGAAAGAAGAGATATTTTTATTTGCTTATGTAGAAATATATATTTAATCATTTGCTTAAATTCTTTTCATAAAAATTTTATATAATTGTCAATTTATGTGATTATTTTTAGGATGATAGTGATGATGATACTGTAAGTGGGATTTACTATGATGCTATATCTACAACCTCAGCACTAGACTTGACCGATGACTCTACTGAACCTGATTCTCCCTGGAATGTGGAAGGCGTGACTGTCAGTGATCATATACAAAGGGACTTCTTCGAAGCATCTGTTGAGACAGTCAAAGAAGAAACTGATTTGGAAGGTTTAATAGAATTAAAGATTACAGATGAGGACTTAGAGGAAGCACTCAAACAGTCAGATTCACCTGAACAGTCAAATATAGTTAAACAGTCAGATTACGCTAATGAAACTGAGCAGTCAGACTATATTAAACAACAGTCAGATTCAAAACTTCTTACGGAACAGTCAAATGTAGTTAAGAAGCCAGATTACACTAATGTTGCTGAACAGTCAGACTTAGTTAAGCAACAGTCAGATTCAGTCAGAAGTAAAAAAAATTCATTTGGTCAGGTTGGTGCAAAAGAACAAACTAGTAAAGTAAGCGTGAAAGAATTGAGTAAAAAGTTTAAAGTTGAAGAGGAAACAGGTGGTACCTACTGTTTAGCAAAGCCTCTAAAATTAGACTCAGACCAATATTGTTTGGCTAAACCAGTGACTGAGGACCCTGAAGTAGAAGGCTACATAAAGGCAAACAAAGTAAACAAATCTTTCGTACGAAAACCAGCTAAATACAAATATGACCCACCGTGGAATAGTGAGTTTCCCATGGTTATGGTTCCTGGGAAGGTAGATCAGGGCGAACAAAAAACTTTTCAAAAGAAAACTGAATTAGTTCAAGGAGACGAACAAAATGAAGTGTTAACAGAAGTGAAATCTGACTTAGTTACAAGTGGTGAATTAGGGGAAAGTGGAAAGTACAATCATTTATTTGAAGGATCTGTATCAGAAGAGCCAGAAATGAGTAATTTGTATGGTATTTATACTACACCACCGGAAGAAACTGACCAACCACAAGAAGAAGAAGGTAATTATCATTGTAAAACTAAGTCTATTTATCTACAATGTACATGTACTTGACATGTCATGCATGTCATGTATCTTCTTAATTCTTAAGTTTTTCAAGTAGTAATTATTATGAAAGGCTTCTACATTGTATGTCTGATTTACATGATTTTGATGATTGTGTTTTTCGTAGACTTTTGTTGTAATGGCATACATGGCATACATATATGTACATGGGGTACATATAGTATTTTATATTTGTTCTGAATTTGTAGGTGTCCGTACTAGTTCAAAAGCCCAATCAACACACAAAGGTATTTTGTATACAAATTAAATAGCAAAGCTTTGCTTATACCTATATTAGGCCAATTAAAATTAATTGATAGATTTTCATCCCCGCCCGCCCCTCTGAAATCGTCCCGCCCCGATTTTTTTTATTTTTAAAAATTTTCGATTTCCGGATTTTGTTCATTTCCGTTACCGGAAACCACCGATAATTTCGTTTCGTTCATAACTTCCTGTACCAAATTTCGGTTTTCGTATTTCTTCGAGTAATTTAACCAAAATGATTAAGTCGAAATATTCTGCTGCTCTATGATGACAGCATTATCTTCCGAGAAAAGAGATTGCTTACGAGAAGGGCATGAAATATTCGGGTTACGAGTGACAGGCGGTGTCCAAGAACGCAAATCGCGGTCAGTGATTAGAAACCTGTGGATTTTTTTATTTATACAATGACTTTGTGTCAGGAAATTTGGACTGTGAATGATATCCAAAGCACAAGAATCGTGGAATACATTGCTGCAATAAAAAACATGACTGGGATAAAGAAATTGACACAAGTACGAACTTGTGCGATCTAAGACCATATATTGAGTACAAAAAAGTCTGCCAATGTAATGCTATGTCTTAAAACTTTTCCAGATACACAGGGTTATCTGTACTCGGAGTAAATTTTGAGGTGAAAATGCAGCCATTGTAGCCAAAGGGTCCACATGAACCTTAAAAGCATAAACCATAGTATTTGCAACATAGTTTGAGTTTTAATTTCACTCTGTACTCATAATACTTGTAATGGGCACTACAAAGTACTACTTAGAAAGCAAAATAAATTTGATGTAGGTAGTCTAAAAGAGAACATTTCTCCACCTTTTTGCTATTTACTAAAAATTGGTTTCTAAAGTGGCAATCACATGTAGAACAGTGGTTGCCAATCCGAAATCTTTATTAAGAATTTGAAAAATTATGTAGAATTCCTTATATATACATGATATAAGCTTAATATTACCCTTGCATATGAACAGTCTGATTGAAACCAGCCCCCAATATCTACAAAGGCAAATGGAAAGTGGGGGCTGGTTTTAATTAGACTGGCATATGAAGAACACGTCCCAAAAGGGTTCCGGAGGAAATAAAAATTAAAAAATAAAATCCTCCCACCCGCCCCATTTTTTTCAAAAATTTGGATGAAAATCTACTAATTAATTTTAGTTGGCCTTATGGTAGAATATATATTGACACAGATTACCCATAGCTTTATTGCCTAAACATTCATGAAACACAGTTGATTTGGTGAAAAAATAGTTTAATTTGAAGTTAAAGTAAAAAATGTACTACCATTTTAGAGACAACACAGGATAATTTCCCTTCATGTTTATAATCAGCCAGAAGTCCATTCCTGGGAGAAGTGTGCAACCTCTGTTATAGGCTTAGACAATTAGCAATGATAAGAATGTTCCTAGTAATGGTGGAGTGAGGTTGATAAATCAGTTGGGACTCTATTGTTATTAAATTGACATAGAAAAAAGAAATAATTTCTAATTAAGTGTAAATTGACATTAATTAAACTGCATTTTTATACGACCGCAAAAAAATTTTTGTGGTCGTATATTGGTATGACGTTGGCGTCGTCGTCGTCGTTGTCGTCGTCCGAAGACGCATTAGTTTTCGCACTCTAACTTTAGTTTAAGTGAATGGATCTCTATGAAATTTTACCATAAGGTTCAATACCACAAAAGGAAGGTGGGGATTGATTTTGGGGGTTATGGTACCAACAGTTAAGGAATTAGGGGCCAAAAAGGGGCCAAAAATAAGCATTTTCTAGATTCCAGACAATAACTGTGGAACGGTGTATGGATCTCTCTGAAATTATACTACAAGTTTCCATACCACAAAGGGATGGTTAGGATTTGCTTTGGGGGTTATTGCTCAAACTGTTTAAGAATTAGGGGCAAAAAAGGGGGAAAAACAAGGTTGTCCTCATTAATGGACAAATACTTTAGTACAAAACATAATTTAAAGCAGTGTAAGGGAGATAAATCAAATACATCATTGAAATTATCTCCCTTACACTGCTTTTAAATTATGTATAAAGTAATGGTTAATGAACAATTAAGATAATTTAAAACAGTGTAAGGGAGGTAATCCAAATACAACGTTTTGGTTACTTCCCTTACACTGCTTATAAATTATGTTTAAAGAAATGCATATTTATAAATGAAGACCAGTATGGCGCATTAGATTTGTAAAATCTTTGACCACATTTATTTATTTGTTATGCCGAATCTAACCGTGTATTTAGATTTTTAATTTTGGGTCCAGTTTTCAAATTGGTCTACATTAAGGTCCATAGGGTCCAAAATTAAACTTTGTTTGATTTTAACAAAAATTGAATATATGGGGTTCTTTGATATGCTGAATCTAAACATGTATTTAGATTTTTGATTTTTGGCCCAGTTTTCAAGTTGGTCCAAATTGGGGTCCAAAATTAAACTTTGTTTGATTTCAACAAAAATTGAATATATGGGGTTCTTTGATATGCTGCATCTAACCATGTATTTAGATTTTTTATTTGTGGACCCCGCTATCAAATTGGTTCATATTGAGGTCAAAAGGGTCCAAAATTAAACTTTGTTTGATTTCATCAAAAATTGAATTATTGGGGTTCTTTGATATGCCAAATCTAACCGTGTATTTAGATTTTTAATTTTGGGTCCCGTTTTTTAAATTGGTCTACATTAAGGTCCAAAGGGTCCAAAATTAAACTTTGTTTGATTTCAACAAAAATTGAATATATGGGGTTCTTTGATATGCTGAATCTAAACATGTATTTAGATTTTAGATTTTTGGCCCAGTTTTCAAGTTGGTCCAAATTGGGGTCCAAAATTAAACTTTGTTTGATTTCAACAAAAATTGAATATATAGGGTTCTTTGATATGCTGAATCTAACCATGTATTTAGATTTTTTATTTGTGGGCCCGCTATCAAATTGGTTCATATTGAGGTCAAAAGGGCCCAAAATTAAACTTTGTTTGATTTCATCAAAAATTGAATTATTGGGGTTCTTTGATATGCCAAATCTAACCGTGTATTTGGATTTTTAATTTTTGGTCCCGTTTTTTGAATTGGTCTACATTAAGGTCCAAAAGGTCCAAAATTAAACTTAGTTTGATTTTAACAAAAATTGAATATTTGGGGTTCTTTGATATGCTGAATCTAAACATGTGTTTAGATTTTTGATTATGGGACCAGTTTTCAAGTTGGTCCAAGTTGGGGTCAACATTAAACTTTGTTTGATTTCAACAAAAATTGAATGTATGGGGTTCTTTGATATGCTGAATCTAAACATGTATTTAGATTTTAGATTTTTGGCCCAGTTTTCAAGTTGGTCCAAATTGGGGTCCAAAATTAAACTTTGTTTGATTTCAACAAAAATTGAATATATGGGGTTCTTTGATATGCTGAATCTTACCATGTATTTAGATTTTTATTTGTGGGCCCGCTATCAAATTGGTTCATATTGAGGTCAAAAGGGTCCAAAATTAAACTTTGTTTGATTTCATCAAAAATTGAATTATTGGGGTTCTTTGATATGCCAAATCTAACCGTGTTTTTAGATTTTTAATTTTGGGTCCTGTTTTTTTTTAATTAGTCTACATTAAGGTCCAAAGGGTCCAAAATTAAACTTAGTTTGATTTTAACAAAAATTGAATTCTTGGGGTACTTTGATATGCTGAGTCTAAACATGTGTTTAGATTTTTGATTATGGGACCAGTTTTCAAGTTGGTCCAAGTTGGGGTCCAAAATTAAACTTTGTTTGATTTCAACAAAAATTGAATATATGGGGTTCTTTGATATGCTGAATCTAACCATGTATTTTGATTTTGGACATTGGACCATAATAGGTAAATTAAAAAAATTGAAGTTCTTAGACCACATTCTTTCTGTGTCAGAAACCTATGCTGTGTCAAATATTTAATTTCAATCCAAATTCAGAGCTGTATCAAGCTTGAATGTTGTGTCCATACTTGCCCCAACTGTTCAGGGTTCGACCTCTGCGGTCGTATCAAGCTGCGCCCAGCGAAGCATTTTATTTCAATTTGTTTTATCAGAGTTGTTCGGTGGAGTGCATATATTAAAGCAGCAGATTAACATATACAAATGATATATACCCACTCTCTCTGAGAAATGTTAACACCCAGATAAGTTTCTGCCTTCAGTCTTAGTTGTTGTGTTCGTTTCAATTTAATCATAAGTTTGATTTCAGATATTTACTCTACTAAGACATTAGACAACTTCAGCTTGTTTTAATTTTGCGACTAGTTTACTATATATATAGAAAGTTCTCAAAAAAACTCTTGTGAATTGTAAAAAATATATGGGGATCTACCTGATCTTGAACCTTGCTGGAAAGTTGCATTCATCTTCTATTTATGGATTTCTTACAGAATATATATACATGTATATGAGTGAAATTGACCTTCTCTAACATAAAATGAAAACTACACAATCAGTATGTGTAAGTTGTTTTAATGAAATGCTCTTTATTTAGAATGAAAGGAAAAGCCTGTGTTTGGTGTTGTTAAATTAAAGATATGGTATACATTTGCATGCATGTCAATGCTGTTATTTCAAGAGTGTAAAGTCTTCCTTAGTCATATTTCGCATGCTCATCAAATGGGACTATGGTATAAGAATATATATATCCTATTGCTTGATTGACACAAAACAATTAAAATGCTGTTAAAAAAATATTTGCTTATTTGATATGCATTTTCAAAATGATTTTAGATTTGTACCAGTGGATGCTATCATTTCATACAAAAAATTACATTACATACTACATATTTGAAGTCTTTATTGCTAGGGCCCCCCTGGCATGACGTGGATGCTATCATTTCATAAATACATACATGTACAAATAAAGTTGAAGCGTGTAAGATGGCCCGTTACAGAAGGGCCCCACTGGTTAATCAGCATAAGGACTGTAGTAATCAGTCTGTCTGTCTGTGCTTGCGTTGTCAGTCCACCCATC